CTAAATTTACCTGTCGTAACAACACCTATCAAATTTCTAACTAACTTTTCCCTCTGATATATATTCAAGAAATCTTCTTTATAGCTTTGGAGGCTCTTTTATATTCCTTTGCAGAGTCTCTTTTGGCCCCTATAGTCTACCTACCTGTTTGTAAGCCATTGGTGTGCTCCGTTTGGCTCCATCAAGTTGTTGAAAGATACCCTTTTCTCCCAATAACCTCTTTGCTTCACACAGATAGTGCTAACATAAACTGAACAAAAGTCAATTATGTCAGCAGATTTTTCATTCACCTTGACACTACACAGAAGGTGCATTTTCAGCAGTAACATTCAATGGTGGCCGGGGAACTGCAATGCCACCTGCTTAGTGCAGGAAGCTTCTCCCAAAGTGCGTGGAGAAAAAAGCCTCCAGAGTGTTGTAGAGGAGTTCAAAGCAAATCATATTTCTGTGCAAAAACTGATGTAGCACCAAATACAATATCGCCTCAACATTTCAGTGAGCTTGTGTCATAAAAGGTGTAGCTCTTGTGTTTTAAACCAGCACAAAGTGAATGCATCAGGGGTGTCTGAAAAGGCTACCTCATTATTTAGCCTCTTAAATTGCCATCTTGAATTTTTTAAAAGTCACAGAAAAGAATGGGTTTGTGATATGAAGAGCACATTTACTTCCCTGAGTTCCATCTCTAGAGTCAAAAAAAAAAGATGAGGCACTATTTTAAAGAGCCACCAAGTTCAATGTTTATGAAAATAACAAAAACCTTTAATAGAGAGTATTCTAAAAGAGATTTGAACTTTTGTACTAAACACAGTACAAGACGGTCACACTAAGTTTATATAGTGACAAACAGCTGTTTCAGAAAGAACTGATGTTTTTGAGCAGCCATAAGTGATTTACAAACAAAACAGAACCTCAAGTAGTAATGTAGGAAAACTGAACATCACAGTTTCTCTTCTCCATTAGAAATAATCTAGAAGTTCAGTTCATGCCATGTGACAAGTTCAAGGTCACTTACCAGGAAGCCGTGATTTTGTGTTAGATAAAGAAGTTAGATTTCCCCAAGGCTACCAACTGGACTGTTTTATAGGTAAAATGTTGCTGCCACCGACTTAGGGTATGGAGGGATGAATCAGTTCTCAGCATGACTATCACTGATAGACTCCAGGACTTTTGCTTTAATGTTTTTTATTCTATTTCATCCCAATTCTCTTTCCCCATAGGCAAGTATTCTAATGTACTTGTGATCATTCATTAAGTTAATATTTTTATATGTGCCTATTAGGTGTCTGTTTTGAGGGCCAAGGACACATCAGTGACCAAAACAAATTTTTAAAATCCTTCCTTCCAGGAGTCTACATTCTAGTAGGAATGCATAATAAAAAAAATTAAGTAGCAAATATTATTAAAGGGTAGTAGGTACTATGAGGCAAATAACACGGATAAGAGGGAGAGAAAAATGCTAGGGGGTGTAGGTGCCATTTTAAACAGGGCAGCCAAGAAACGCCCTACTCAGGAGGTGACACATGAGCAAAGGCATGCAGAAGGTGAGCGTGTAAGCCAGGAAGGTGTCTGAGAGAAGCCCTAGAACAGCAAGTGCAGGCTCTGAAGCATGTGGGGTTCATGAGCACTCATTCACTTATGTGTTCCTGCAAAACATACTGTTTTATGTTCATATATTTTTTATAATTGTATTTATAACTATGTGGGTTCTCCAGAGAATCAAAACCAATAGGAGACTAGATAGATGAATGGATGCATAGACAGACAGATTTACTATGAGGAATGACTAGTGTGATGATGGAAGCCTAGAAGTCCAAGGTCTACAGTCAGCAAGCTGGAGCCTCCAGAGGGCTAGTGGTGTGGTTCCCATCCAGAAGCAGGAGAAGAACAATGTCCCAACTGGAAGGGAGGCAGAGAGAATTCTTTCTTCCTCAGGCTTTCATTCTATTCGGGCCTTCAGTGGACTGAGTGAGTCCCACCCACACTGGGGAGGGCAATCTGCTTTACTCTGTCCCCAGATTCCAATGCTAGCCTCATCCAGAAGCACCCTCACAGACGCAGCCAGAAACTGTGTTTATCTAAATACCTAGGTCCTGGTGATATAGCGAAGTTGACACATAAAATTAACCATCCCGATGCTGTACTGTGTTTCTCATCCTGTTTTTTACTTTCCTCCAGAGTAATGTTTTTAAGATCAGTAGTTGTGGTAGGCAGAACTGTAAGCCAACATACATGTTCTTCACCCCTAGGGCAGGATGATGTCATGTTATAGGTCAAAGCAACAATGAGGATGTAATTATAGTTACTAATCAGTTGACACTGAAATAAGATTATCCCATTGGCCTAAGTAATCCCAAGAGCCCTTGCAAAGCAGCATCTCTGGGTTGTTGAAAGAGGAAGTCAGGGAGAATCCAAGCTTGACTAAGAGGCACTATGGGTAGCTGAAAGATGGAGGGAGCCACGTGGCAAGGAGTGGGGTTCCCTCTAGGAGCTGAGAGCCGCCTTTGGCTGGTAGGCAGCAAGAAAATAGGGACCTTAGTTTTATAAAAGCAAGTAACTGAATTCTGCCAACTTAATGAACTTAAGGTAGATTCCTTTCCAGAGCTTCTGGATGGGAACCCAGTTCAACTGCCACTCTGTATTTGGCCCTATAAGACTCTGAGCAGAAACTCTGACCGACAGAATTAAGAGATAATAAATGGGTGCTGTTTTAAGACAGAAATTTTGGTAATTTGTTATGCAGCAAGAAAAAATGAATACAGTAGTATTGATGCACATTTTATTTTAAAAAATCACCTATTTAGCCTTGGTTTGTATAGCTCAGTGGATTGAGTGTGGGCTGTGAACAAAGGGTCACTGGTTCAATTCTCAGTCAGGGCATATGCCTGGGTTGCAGGCCAGGTCCCCAGTGGGGGTCACATGACAGTCAACCACACATTGATATCTCTCTCCCTCCTCTCCTCTCTCTCTAAAAATCAATAAATAAAATCTTATGAGGCAAGACTCTAAGAACTTTATAAGTATTAATTCATTTGTCATAACCTTATGATATACATTTTACTCTTTTTCTCATTTTACAGATGAAAAAAACTACAAAACAGAGATTAGGTTACTTGCCAAATGTCAGGTGTCAAAACCAACAGTCAGACTTAGGTGATCCAGCCTTGGGGTTGATGTTCAAACACCACATCTAGTCTTCTGCATTAGGCTGAGGCAAAATATGTCCTACTTGTATCTCCCTCACTTAACCCATTAATTTTCCAGGGAGGGGTTTCTCAGGGCACGAAGCTGACCAGAGGGTCCTGGGCACACACGGAATGGGACTGGGGACGTCTGGGTGAATCTCTAGAGCAGCCACACTGGTCCACAGCCCTTCTGGGCCACCGCACGTCTGTCAGGGGCACGTTCCAGCTTGTTAACTTTTGCCATTTGAATGAAAATAAAGACATTTCACCACTTCTTAAAAAAGGAATTTGTATTTTTAACTACTTTTTATTGTGGTGTGTGTATGTGTATATATATGTATATATGTGTGTATATATGCTTATGTATGTTTATATGTCTACATGTTTATATACATATATAAACATTTACCACTCTAACCATTTTAATTTATTAGCATTAATTACATTCAGAATGTTGCGCAACCACTGCTATTTATTTCTAAAATTTTACATCATTGCTTTTTCATTTTCATTTCTCTTTGAGCATCTCTTCATATGCTTTTCAATAATGTGCATCTGATTCTACCTTATTCAACATAAGAATACAAGTTAAACTAATAAAAGAAGTTCTAAGTCCTAAAATAGCACCTTGCTGTAAAATGAAATGGCAGTACTGAATCCTCTACATTTTTCTAAGTATTAAATGGGATGATACATGCAGAGGGCTTATCACCACGCCTAGCAAAAGTAGGTATTTGATAAATGGCATTCAGCATTATTATTAATATTGCTATTATATTAATTCTCGGATTGCCATTTCATCTGAACCTTCCCTAACTCAAACAGTGGGACAGGCCCCCTTCTACATGACAGCACCGTCCTTACCACCGAGGGACCTGAGCTCAGGATTTTATAGAAGAAGAAACAGGATAGAGAAATAATTTAAGTGCAGAACAAAATGAAGAAAAAACAAGATCAAATAACATTCGAACTGTAATCTTACAGAAGGAGTGATGGCAGGGCGGACAGATGAGCGTGGGAGGGCTGCCGGCGGGGAGGCGCCAGGGCTGCCGCACGGTGCTGGCTCCCCAGCAGGAGGAGGCCTGGCTCTGCGCTACTGCCCACCCTGCTGGAAGGAAGACGTTGTGACCCAAGGACACACACACTTGAATCTCCAGGAGCACCAGACATACGCTTTTTTCTGGTCGGTTGTTATAATGCTGTGACATGCAAATGCATATTTGGGGTCCGAATCCCTTCAACTTAGTTGGTGTCACTGATACATAAATTACAAAAATCAGCAGATTTCACCTCTGATGTGGGCTCTCCATCATCAGGTTTTCTGAAACATGCATGAGTCAGGTTTTGCTTCCTACTATCATTATCTTGTGTCCGGTCCCTGGCAGCAAAGACTACAGTAAGCTTGCCAAAATGCAGAGGGGACCGAAGCAAACTAAACCAAAACAGAGCTCTGACATGTAGGAAAAGTAAGCATTTTCGCTCCAAAAGTGAGAGGCCAGTAGACTCAGCGAGGTGGTGTTTGTAGTTGTCTTTCTGCAGTTCAATCCAGCTATTCACTAGCATTTGAAAAAGAAAGAAAATTGAATCGCCCTGCTGAAGTTGTCTTTATATTATATATTTTTTCATTTTATCTGGGTGCTTCTCTTCTACTTTTTAGAATTTCTAACTGTAGCATTTGCTTACTGAAAATGTTTGCTTTGGGCTAGAAAAGAATATTTAGAAATCCTTATCCCCCCACTAAAGAAAGCAAGTGGGAGTGGAAATTTGAAAGAGGACCGCCTAATTCAGCACTAAAACCCGTGTGAGAAACCGTGTGTGTGAGTGAGTGTGTGTGTGTGTGTGTGTGTGTGTGTGTGTGTGAGTGTGAAATGTGCTTTTCAAAGTGCTCAGAGGTGGATGGGAATGTTTGATGAGCTCCTCTGAGAAGAAAAGGTGCCTGGACCTCTTGTTGTTTCTTCTTTAGAGTAATTTGGATGGGATTTGTGATGCAGAAAAGCCTAAGGAAAACAGGATATCCATTCTGTGTGGTGGAAAATTCTTGAAAAAAATTGCTTTCTTCAAACAAGGTATGTCTGATGAATTATTAAGCTATGCAGCTAGTTTGCTTTCCATTCCTTATGATGAAACCATTAAAATGTATTTAGTGCTAAGAAACTATAATACATGCTTTGACCAAGTAACCAGCCTGTACAAATTTCAGTCTCAAGAGAACTGCGATGGGAGTGGGTGGTAGTTGACATCCTTTAAACAACTAATATTAGATATGTCAACTATAAATAAATTGTATGAGGTTTTCACTGTATCTTTAAGCCAACTTGATTATAATTAAAGTAGGTTGAAAAGTATGACACTGTGTAGAACTTTAAAGTATTTAAGGCTCTTTTATACCTTGCTTCCTATATGTAATATAACAGCACTGTAACAATTTGCTTATAACAATGTATCAAAAGCAGCATGAGAAATGGGCACATTGGTGCCAAATTAAAAGGGAAATTATTTAATGTGGCTCTCTATCCAGACAGATGTCAGTGGAATGTGGCTAGATGGGCAATTCTCTATCTTGTTTACGCTGGAATCTTAGGCTAAATGCTTTTTCACTGATAAGCCCGGGAAAGAGTTGGCATTGTTAAGTCTACTTTTGTGGCTCAGCTTTGCGCAGGAAAACAGGGTACAAAATCTCTCTTAAGCATGATTAGTGTCAAACCAGTATAAACATGAAATAAATGCCTCAAGTATAGATTAAACAGAGGGTATAAGATTGAATTATTAGACTTGGTGGTTTGCTTCTGAAAAACCCATGGCATCTTTGCCATCTCCAAATCGAGAGTGAATTCAAGATTTTCTTTGGGTTTATTATAAAAATAAAACAAGGCATTCTTGGCCATGGTGGTTATTAAAAAAAAATGCGAGCACTAAGAAAATAGCATTTTACCATTATGTTGTGTTGCAACAAATTCGGAAGTCTTGGTGGTAAAGTTCTAAGGCTGTTTTTCCCTCCGTCTCTTGAAAGATGAAAACACCCCGCAGCCAGGCGAGATCAAATGCGTTTGTTTGTGTATTTTCTCTGTTGTCTGTGTCAGCTGCAAGCGGTAGCTCTGCACTGGTAGGAAGGCTGGAAGTGCCTGGCTTTTGTTTATTGAATTAAAATACCCACTTTTGTAAAAGGGCTTTAGACAAAGAATTGCATGGTTACAAGAGCAGCATTTTAAATTGCAGGATGATGGTTTCCCAGACCAAGCTTCATTTAAATATATCTTACACCTCACCACTGAAAGGAAACATCTTAGGAACATTGCAAATGCTTAATTATCTATCCTGAAATAGTGTTTACTTTATGAATATAGTTTAGGAGATCTAATTATCCTTTTTTCCCAAGTTACTGATCACATGTAGAACAGTTTCTTTCAGAGAAAATACACTGGGTTTGAAAATGGTTTATGCACAGCATCAGAAGAACAGAAACGCTTGTGCTGTTCTCATCTGTAATTCCTGTGAGACATAGGAAAGCAATGTTGTCCAGTGCTCTGTCTCAAGCCAGGAGTCCTAAATTACAGGAACAGCTCCGCCAGTACCTAGCTGTGTTACCTTAGGAAGGTGTGTAACACTTCTTGACGTTTGTTTCCTCATATAGAAAAAAGAAATAGTAATGCCTGCACACACCCTCTCTCAGTGTGGTCGTGTGGCCCAATGATGATTCTTGGTTCCAAGAAGGTTTTGAAATGTGCAAATTCTATAGAAATGTAATCTTTTTCTGCACTTGTTTACAAAAAACATTGTACTGGAAGGAGCCATTGGCCTTCAAAGAGACACTTCCTGGACCCCACAATGCTCCTGTTACCCGTGCCTGCATGGGTGACTTCTCTCCTTGCTCACTGGGAAGTGTGAGCTCGGTATCAACAGCAGGAGGTGCAGGATAAAGCACACTGGCCTCCCTGTCTGTAGAAGGGCACTCTTTGCTGCGTGACCTTGGAGAGGGTACTCGGCATCTCCGTGTCTCCATTTCTTCACATATGAAATGAAGGTGGACAAGATAGTCTCTAAATTTCCCTTCTAATCCTGTGATTCTGTATATTAGGACCTCTCCAATGTGAAGACATGGACGGGCCAACTTCATTGTTGGGACTCTGTATGTTACAAAATGAAGAAATATCAAAATGGAGTTTTAGAACTATAGCATATTTAAAATGTTTATATGCTTACCTAACTAAAGACTTTACCATATACAAAATTGAAATGCGTGTGCCTGTGCATCTCCGTACCGTACTGAGGACAGTGTGGTCCAAATTTTGAGAGATTTCTTTCAGTTCTCTGTTGTACTTCTGTGACTGTCTATAACCCATCATAAGGAAGTAATACCAAATATCTAAATGTAAGGCCTGCCAGGCAAGGCCAAGGCCAAGTGGCCCTCCAGTGGTGCTATGAATCCCATGGGAGTTTGTCAGGCAGGAGGCTCTGCTACTTCTCAAGTGTATTAACTTTTGCAAGTTATTTAAACTTTCTGAGCCTCAGTTTTCTCATCTCTAAAAAGGGTCTATTATTAGTGTCTCTGTCATAGGATTGTGCAAAAAGCCTGGATCAGTGCTTAGCACACTGTCAGCATCCAAACATTACCAAGTCTTTTCTTTATTATAAGTGACTAGAATGGAGAAATCAGATCAGCTGTAAGGCAAAGCAATAATTCTCTTCAAAACTTTAAAATGTTAAGTCTTTGATAAGGGAAGCAAATTGACTTGTGGAATTATGTGATATCAATAGTTATTATAAATGTGTAGCAATATCTTTATTTAGCAGATCTCAGCTAATCCATCAATCAGCAAATGATAAGCAAGAGGCAACTTCTGTGATGTCTATAAAAAGAGAAATCCCAGGGGTCCCCCTCTGGTGGTCTAAAAATGTGTCTCTCTGTGGTTTGAAGAAGGTGGTGGAATTCTTGGCCCCATGAACAGACACAGTGTGGCCAGAGAAAAGTGCGAAGGAAACCTGCTACTCTTTGCAAGTATGAAAGGTCCTCCTTCAAGTGGCAGTGAGCAGCTTCTGTTAGTGCAGAGAACGGGGCAAAAAGGAACAATAGGCTAGGCATCGGCAATGCCTTTTTGATAACTCAGACTGTCAAATTCTAATCAAGCTGCAGCAGTACACCCCAACGGCTGAGGCTTCCACAGCCACTGTTGGCCTGTCTGCGGCTCTGACTCCTGTCACTAGCCTGTACCACGGGCATCACCTGCAGCTAGCCATTCCAGCTGTGCACCTGCACCCCGCTGGCCCAACTCCCAACACATTTCGGAGCTATGCACAGCCTGAGGTGAGACCCTGAAGCCACAGGAGCACACGCTGACAGTTAAGGGCACTGAAGCTGTGAGGGCCCCTGCAGTTAGCCCCGGCCCTCGCTGCTGCTCCTGGCTCTTGCTGCTATATGTGTGTCTGCAATTGGCCCCTGCCACTACAGGACACAGGCATCTACAACTGGCCTCTGCCTCCAAGTGTGTGCATACCATCAGCTCTGGTCCTCACCCCTGCCTGCTCTGGTCCTTACCTACTGAACCCTGAAGCATCACTGAGGACCCCAACAACCCTTCCAGCCACTGCAGACCCTCCACAGTGCTCATCAAGTGCTACGCAGTTGGTGATATGAACCCCAGCAGCCTGAGCTGTCTAGATGGCATGGCTTTCTGGACCTACGGCCACCACAGCCCCCGTATTTGGTGCCCTGCACCACCAAATCCAGGGTCCCAGCACACCCCAGCATGCCTCCACCCACAAGTGAAGGTCTTTCCTACCTGAAGTCAGTCCACAACATCTAGAAGAGGCTACAGGGATCATGAAGAACCGGGGGAAACATGACGCATTGAAGGAGCCCAGTGAGCCTCCAGTACCTGACCCCCAGGAAACAGATGCATGAACCACTGGACAAAGGATTAAAAAAAAAACTGCTCTGAATATGCACAGAGAGCTACAAGAGAACACAGATGAACAACTTAATGAAATTGGGAAAACAATTCAAGAAAAAAAAATGAGTTCAACAAAGAGACAACATAAAGTAGGACCAAATGGAAATCTTGGAACTGAGGAACAAAATTTTAATTAAAAAATACACACACACACACACACAGAAACACAAAGTTTAAGTCAGTCTGAGATTTTCTAAGTGAGTTCCTGTTTACAGTCCAGGAGGTGAAAGACCAAAATCTGAGGAGGTTCCAAGAGCCCAGCGTTCACGATGGAGCAAAGGCTATTTCAGTTCTGTTGACTGCATTTTCCTCCGGTTACCTCATTTATAAAACAAACAGTTGTGGATGCTGGATTCAGAATTTGTTTCTAATCAACTAGAAAACTTTTCTGCTTCAACAGACTGCAAACCTTAAAGAAATCCTTGGAGACTGCCTAACAGAACTGCTAGGGGCTGCAGGGGGAAGTGCACAGAGCAGGCACCAGGGAATGCTGGGAGTTGAGACTTAGGAAAGCTGCATGTCATGTGGCAACCTGCAAAAGGCCAGTCACAGCAGCTGTGCCTCGGCTGAAGTCCATTGCCACATTTCAGGGCTTGTATCCTGGGGGAGAAAGGTGAATTGAGACAATGATGCCAAAATCCTTTCTTGAGTCAAGTCCACAAGCCACGGTCTTGGAACAAAACAAATACATATTAGTTTGGCTTTGATTCAGTTTAGAAAATATTTCGGTGTTTGTATTTTTATTCTGGCTTACAATTTAAAAAATGTTGAGCCCATTTCTGCTTCATATTACTTCACTACATGTTTTTTTTAATTATTATTTTAAAGAATGCTGGATGTCACTTTTCAGCCATTTGATTGGGCCAGTTGTCCTAGAACCATAGAAGATTTTCATGGCAATGGGCCAAAGATCCTTACAAACCTTGGAGCAGAAGGGGAAGGAATAAAACTGTAGAACTGCTGTCTTGCTGGGGTCCTAGAAGAATTTAACCAAGTGGCAGTCACAAACCTGTGTGGTTCCTTCATCAAATAGTCTGAAAATCAAGCATGGCTAACCCTGAGCAGCATCTTGTACAGAGAGATTCCACTGGTGGCTTTACCTCTGTGAAGTCCTCAAC